TATATATATATATATATATATATATATATATATATATATATATATATATATAAAAAATCCAAGATTTTAATAAGACATTTTGCATAAATAAGGGTTTACAGCTCCCCCTAGGAGGCGGTGTCCGCTCACAGCTTCCCCGAGGCGACGGTGTCCACTCACAAAGCTCCAGTAGCGGCGGTGTCCGCTCACATATCTCTTGAGGCGGCGGTGTCCGCTCACAAAGTTCCATTAGCGGTGGTGTCCGCTCACAAAGTTCCATTAGCGGTGGTGTCCGCTCACAAAGTTCCATTAGCGGTGGTGTCCGCTCACAAAGTTCCATTAGCGGTGGTGTCCGCTCACAAAGTTCCATTAGCGGTGGTGTCCGCTCACAAAGTTCCATTAGCGGTGGTGTCCGCTCACAAAGTTCCATTAGCGGTGGTGTCCGCTCACAAAGTTCCATTAGCGGTGGTGTCCGCTCACAAAGTTCCATTAGCGGTGGTGTCCGCTCACAAAGTTCCATTAGCGGTGGTGTCCGCTCACAAAGTTCCATTAGCGGTGGTGTCCGCTCACAAAGTTCCATTAGCGGTGGTGTCCGCTCACAAAGTTCCATTAGCGGTGGTGTCCGCTCACAAAGTTCCATTAGCGGTGGTGTCCGCTCACAAAGTTCCATTAGCGGTGGTGTCCGCTCACAAAGTTCCATTAGCGGTGGTGTCCGCTCACAAAGTTCCATTAGCGGTGGTGTCCGCTCACAAAGTTCCATTAGCGGTGGTGTCCGCTCACAAAGTTCCATTAGCGGTGGTGTCCGCTCACAAAGTTCCATTAGCGGTGGTGTCCGCTCACAAAGTTCCATTAGCGGTGGTGTCCGCTCACAAAGTTCCATTAGCGGTGGTGTCCGCTCACAAAGTTCCATTAGCGGTGGTGTCCGCTCACAAAGTTCCATTAGCGGTGGTGTCCGCTCACAAAGTTCCATTAGCGGTGGTGTCCGCTCACAAAGTTCCATTAGCGGTGGTGTCCGCTCACAAAGTTCCATTAGCGGTGGTGTCCGCTCACAAAGTTCCATTAGCGGTGGTGTCCGCTCACAAAGTTCCATTAGCGGTGGTGTCCGCTCACATATCTCTTGAGGCGGCGGTGTCCGCTCATAGTTCCCCCGAGGCAGCGGTGTCCGCTCACAATGCTCCCGTGGTGGCGGTGCCCGCTGATGATCCCTCCGAGGTGGCGGGGTTTGCTTCTGGCCTTCCCGAAGCGGCGGAGCCCGCTGATGTTTTTCTTACTGGAGTCTGCAAATTCCGTCCGCGTTTTCCGCATTGTGGAAATCATAGGACCTAGATTTAAATAAGGAATCATGTCCTCATCTGCATGACTTTGTGCAACAGTCGTAGACAGTCAGTCATTGGACTTTCTTAAAGACATTCTTTAGATTTTAACTATTTTTGTAAAGTCAGTGAATTCATTCATTCACTGTTGTATTGTTTGTTGCACAGTGAGCAGTGACCCAAGTTGTATGTTATATTGTGCTCATCTATGATGTTATTTGTGTATAATTTGTTTATTTATGTAAAAAGCAGGCAGTGGCTTATCTTATCATATGGGTTTATGGACAAATTACCTCATGTAAATAAATAGCTTCACTTCTGCTTTAGCTATTATTGGCTCCTGATAACTGAATGGCGTGTTTCCTGTTATGTATTTTCTGGTAAATGTGTGTGATTACAGAATAAATGTAATGTACTGTAATATATTCAAATAAACACTGATCATTTACTTAAACACAAACTGAATGATGAAGTGTGTTTTCTGCAGTTTCATCAGAACTGAGTTAATCCATGTATGGGAATGTGGAAATCAAGGCTTTTCTCGAAACACAGAAGACAGGAAGTAAAGTGAAATAATGAGAAGTGTGTTGACTTCACACTTCATGAATGTTTTAGTTTTTTTCCTTCGAGGGTTGTGAGCATAACAAAGAGGAAGTCATGACGCATTACAGATTACAATCTCACTGGACGCTCACAGCCTGAAAAACATGCTGCACAAACTCTTTATATGTCAACAGTTATGTGCTATGCTTTCTTCTGTACAGTTTGTTCTTATTTTGTTAATGCATTTTTTTTCTTTTTTTTTGCATGACCTGCGTTTCTGTTTCTCTCTGTTCCAGTTTAAGTTGTACCGGTGACACATACAGCGGCAGAAGACAAAGGAAGAGGAAGTCAGCATCTCATCACATTCATGATTCACACACTGCCAGGAACCACCTGAAACACACACCGATTGCCTCAGACCTGTGTAGAGCTAAATCTGATGACAACAGAGAAGATCATTGAATAAGAGAGAAGAATGAAGATGATCTGGACTTTCACTCTGCTGAAGATTCCTGGTAAAACTCTGACGAAACTTTTGAAAGCAATTTGAATTTACATCTCATTTAAGCCTCATAATTAGCCTAAAGTATTTTATTAAAATGGTTTGTTGTTGTAGATGCAATGACCTCCTTGAGTGTGACTGAACATTCAGGGGGTGGAATCAACATCACTTGCATATATCAAGACAAACATACTGGAAATTCAAAGTATTTTTGTAAAGGACCGTGATTAACATTCTCTAATCTCGTCAAGACTTATGAGAAAAACAAATGGGTTGATTCCGGATGATTCTCTCTGTGTGATGACACAAGAGAAGCAGTTTTCACTGTGACCATCAGAGATCTAAGTGAACGAGATTCTGGGGCGCACCAGTGTGGAGTTAAAAAAATTAGGAATTGATTCCTACACTGAAGTGAATCTGAACGTTAGGTGAGTAATCCAGTAATGCATTTTGAACATGACCATCTCAAATGCTGTTTTTCTTTTGCTTGTTTTTTACAGTTAGGCGCACAAATGATAGTACATTTTAAATTACGTTCATTTTTCTGACCCTGTCCCATTTTCAGCATGAACTCACTACATTTTGATCAATTTCTTAACAAACAAAACTTATGTTATTTTGCATCTCAAATAAATGTATCTTGATCACCTTTTGCATTGAAACACTTATTTTTAGCCATTCTGTACAGAAGTCACGTTCAAAGGCAAATGTCGGCTCTAAGACTGTCACACATGTTTCATGTCTTGTTTTGGACATTTATGTTGTAGTTCTAGTTCAGTCATTTCCTGTTTCCTGTCCTAGTCTGTTTGTAGTTTCTTTGCTGATTAGTTCATTGATTGTTGTCAGCCTGATGAAGATATCTATAGTCATGTCCTCTGTGATTAAGGTGAACTCAAAGACAAGGGGTGAATGCAGAATAACATTTAAATGAAAATAAAGAAATGCAAAACAGTAGGAGGAAAAGAACAAAGCAAATGAACCACGATGAAAAACAGAAACTGATCACTAGGGCAGACAACCAAGACTTAACAAAGCTCAAAGAAACACAAGGGCTGATTATAAAATGGATAAGAAGAAAACAAGAAACACCTGAAAACAATCAATAAACTAATCAACAAAGAAACCGCAATCAGACTACAAGACTAGGACATGAAATAGTAAACTAAGAAACTACAACTACAACACAGAATTCCTAAACATGTCATACAGCGGGAAATATATGACAATGGTGATTGATACATAATCTGGATGATATGTATATGCAGCACACATGCATGGCTAAATGTTTGCCTAAAGATGACAACAAGGAGCTAAAGCATGTTTTAAGAAGGTGGATAAGTGTGTTTGCATTGTGACTGTTTTAACAGTTGCATATGTACTAGAGACATATGCAAATGTTTATATAATCCCAGTTTGTACTGTGTGAAATGTATGGTTGTAGGTATAGAGGCAGGATGTTTGCCTTTTCATTTTCAAATGAGTCTCAGTATTTGAAAGTAACTCTTTATTATATGTATATTATTTATTATATTGTATACTATTCAAATTAAGATTAATGAGCAAAATGTTAAGATTTACAAAAAGAAAACTTTACTGGGTTTCAAAAGCTTTTAAAGCTTGAAAATGTAACGCCGTTTGTCACTGTCAATTATTTTCTCTATTATTTAGCACAAAAACCACCACCCTCAGTATCATCATCATCATCAATAATCACAACTCATCACATCATACATCAGATTCTCCGTCTGTCTCAAATGGTACTCTGGTGATCCGTTCATTCATCTTCTCTCATTTACCTGCAGTTCTCAGAGAGAATCAGTCTCTCGTTGTGTTTTCTCTCAGGTTTGTCTCTGATCATCGCTGTGTCTGTGGCTCTTCCTCTGCTCATCACTGGACTTGTTTAATGTGTAGCGACTGTCTGCATGAAGTGTCAGGCTCGAGCTAAAGGTGGGGTTTTGTCTTGAAATCTCAAGGAACTAATTCCATGGATGCATGGCATTTGTTACCCATTTATAAGTTTGTCAGAGTCATTTATTGATGAGAATCGTGTTTACAGTTGTTTGCCAGTGAATGATATTGTTGTGTGAGGAATGAGAAAATGGAAAGATGTTGTTTCGCCCCGCTGGTCACAACTAGGCGATGCACTGTGATGTTCAGAACTGATGTATTATTAAATGTGAATTATTATTATTGTTGTTATTATTACTATATTTAATGTAGTATATTTGTTTTTACAGGCTCTGATTCAGCCTCTAAAATGCCTGAACCTGGAACAGAAAACAGTGAAGCGGTTTGTGAAATCAAATTGTTTGATAAGAATCAATGTTTGAATGAATGACCTTCATCAAAATATGATGAATACTCCAGGATTACCCATAAACCCCTCTGAATCTACTAAAACTGTCTATGCTACTCCAGGATTACCCATAAACCCCTCTGATTCTACTAAAACTGTCTATGCTACTCCACAATTACCCACAAACCCCTCTGATTCTACGAACACCATTATGCTACCGTTTAACAGTGCTGAAGCTCGCATGAGCCAGGGATCACAGTAAATACATGTTAGTGATTGACCATTTCAGTTTGTTGTTGTACCTGATGAAGTAATTTATGTACATTTCTCAATATGCTAATATGCAATATGAAAATTGTGTGTATTTGTATATAACTATGAACAACATAAAATATAATTGTTTTTATAACAATACAGTGTTATTATTGTAACATGACATCACATCAGTAACTCATGTTCTTGTTCTTAAAAACAGCAGCTCACGTCTGTCCATATAAACTGCTTCATGATTTGGTGATTTATGTTTCAGTTTCATACACAAATCTTGAAGCTCAGTTTTTCAGCATTATAAAGATGTTTGTGAAGTGTATTTCATGTCGATGAGAACAGGGTTCATCTGGACAGACTGTGATTGTGTTTGAGATGAATCCGCTGACCGTGGTGCTGAACATCTGCTGAACATAAAGTACTGTGGTCAGAGAGCACAGACAAGACTAATACTGAATATGAATGGGCTGAGGTTGGAAGATTCTCTCTGAATGACAACAAAAGAACAGCAGTTTTCACCATCGGAGATCTGAGAAAACGGGATTCTGGGCCATGTGGAGATAATAAATCAGGAATAAATGTCTGCACTGAAGTGGATCTGACCATTATATTGGGTGAGTAACCCAGTTGCATTTAACCCAGTTTTAAACATGACCATCATCAATGCTGATTTGTTAATTTGGGCATAAATTATTTTCTCATTCAAGTTTCTCAGTCAAGTGCATTCATTATGAAACAAGTTCAACTCAGAAGATTGTTGTGTTGTTATTCTGCTTATTCTGCTTCAAATGTTGAAAAAGGTTATTTTTAGCAGTTTGGTGCACAAATCATGTTGAAGGATAAATCCTGGCTCTAAGATAGACTTTATTAGTCAACAGTAAGTTCAGAGCAACTGAAGATACACCTGTAGAGAGAGCTTAAATGACATTAGTTAATATGCCGAACCTGGATGCTACATGCACTCACGGCTAAATGTTACGTGTAAGCCAGTGGTAAACAGTCTCACCTCACTCTAAACACTGAAATAACACGGAAAGTGTGCGAACCTGAGACTATTTTTAGAGATAAAATATAAATATGTAAAACAATATGTAAATGATGTTTGTATATTGTAGATATAGACACATGCAATCTTGCATCAACATGAATTAAATTGAGCTTGCTCAAGATGGGATGATAATAAACTGAATTATAATAGTAGTAATAATAATAACAACAATAAGAATGTGATTTAACATGGAACACTCTGTTCCAGCAACCACAGCAGTCACAGCAAACGGCCCATCACAAGATGCGAGGGAAGGTAGGCCTAATTAATTATTTCATTTGTATTTGATTGATTGATTTATTGATTTATTGATATACTGTATTTTTCAATTATAAGTAGTTTGAAAGAGTTGTAATGTTATCGTCTACAACTCACAACGTCTCTGTTAATAAAACATGCAATTCATGTCAATTTTATCTGCAGCACAATTCTAAGCATTATGTATAGCATAATTCATACACAAAGATTATTCAGAGCACTGCATTAACATGAATGCAAATAATACAGTAACTAATTTTATATTACTATTACACGTGATATGCATATTTGTAATATTGTTGTTTTTAATGACTGTATCAGTGAGTGAAATATGTATACACTGTAAAATCCAATAGTTTACCTTACTTAGATTTAGTTAGTTATCTTTACTTAGTTGTTATACTTACTAGGTTTTATTAAGTTACAGCTACTTTCAAGGCACATAAAACAATTTACTTACTGTTTTGAGTGACACTTACTTAAAATATTCAAGTAGCCACAAAGAAACCAATGACATTAATAAACCAATGAGAGGCAGCAGTGCACTAATATGTTGCTAATGTGCAACATAACAACAG